CGAACAGATTATTGATGAAAACCGAGGTATCACTGTATATATAATTTTTTGAAAATGTTTAAAATAAAAAAATTGCCATTCTATTTATTTTCTAGATTATGTCTATAATGAAAGTAGCAAAAACAAATTTTATTGTGATGAAATTATTACTTAGTGGACATAAAAAGCAATCGAAGGTAAGACAATTTAAAATATATTTCAAAAATAAAAATAGCAAAAAAACTTTATTCAGCTTTCATAGTATTCTTGATATTATGTGACCAAAAATAAAGTGTAACAGAATATTTCTAAACATGAGTATCCTTGGGCTTATATTTTTTGATATTGCTTTTTATTATATTTGCTTTTATTGATATTTTTTGATATTGATATTTATATTTTTTGATATTGCATAACATAAAGAATATTATAAAAACTGACAAAAACTTATTTTTTACTTTTTAGTTCATTTATGTAAATAAATATTTTTTGTATGTGAATAATTTCACATGCATAAAAATATTTTGATGTTTATATATAATAGAATCCACCTACTGTAATCAATTTGGAACTTGCTTATACTCATGATTATTATAATACTACATTCGCATATAATCCATGACTCACTTCAATCTCAATTTACCTACAATCTGGATTGTGACTGTCGCTAGTCGAGCGTCGTGCTGTTCACACAGGCAGTCCGCTCGATAAGAACCTGGCTATTACACGTGATCATAAAACTGACGTAACTACGCGGTAAGTCACAAACACCAACAAACAAAATGGAAGTTTTGGTTAGAAATAAATACTTTTTCTTGCCGTACATCTAATAATAGACAGATGTCGTCGTCTCTCCAGCTGTCTTTTTTATTTCTCTGTCGATAGCCCGACACGTGTTCCGCAGCCATCTTGTATTTTCTTGCACGCGTGGGATTATGGGATCTCTCTTATGACTGGATCTAGTTTCGAGAACTCTCTCCAGTCAATCGCGATTGAACCTCGTTTCAGTCGAGATTGAAACGGTCGAGAGCGTTTGCACCACGGAACACTCTCTGACCTTAGTCACAATCTAGATCAAAATGCTTGGTGCGAACGGGGTATAAGTGATAAAAATGAGTGAGTGCAAGTAAGATAGATTAATGGAAATTCTGGTTTTATTGAATGACATTAAAACTGTGTATTAATTGTAAACCAAAAATTATTGTAGAACTATGTTGTACTTTATTCCGTATTATGTTGTCTTCAAGTTGAAGATTGAGCAATTTAAGATTTACTAAAAATCCTCTTTTATTGACAAAAACTTGAATTATATATATTTACATGCAAGATGCATTTCAAACTTTATACTCCTTCAATTGTTTTATTAAACTCCAAGAGACCTTTATTAAAATTATTTGTATTTGACTCTTTAAAATTTATGTTAACATTCAAAGTGTTTTGGTATTTTCCTATCATACTGTCTCATATCCATTCAAGGTTTATGGTAACCACTTTGATGGTCCTTAGTGATTTTTGGCCATTCTCTTCCTATTGATGTATTTTAATATTGTAGAACCATATTGCAATAAGAGAAGATTTTAAAAAAGGATTTAGGTTTCTTAATCTTTACCTTGATGGTGATACAATACATTAACAGGACATGTTAAAACAATTATAAAATGTATAAATTGACGATTTGTTAATTATTATTATTATTATTATTATTAATTAATAGTAATTCATTCAGTGTTTCCTACTGTTTTTTGTAGTACTATCTGTAATAATAGTTAGCATGTAATTGAAGAAAGAAATGTCAGTAATTTAGCTATTGTACTCTGAGCAAATAACAATAAAAACAATAATTGTTGTATGTTATCAACAACATGTTGAGGCTGATAGTGTGAAAAAAACAACTTAAAAATGCCTATTTACCTGAAGATAATGATAAGTATAATTGAAAAATTTGATTATAAAAGTAAAAGTTTTATAAATGCATTTTAACTTATCAGAATTAATGTATCCCTAATTGCTAAATGGCTTAATCACAGTAGCTGTGATTACACAATAAGCAGATTCTACTGTATATATTCATAAACATTCATCTACCATTTAATAATTGATATTTAACGGTTAAAAATAAGACATTCATTACAAATAAAAAAACTTATTCTTATAGCAATATTAATCTTAATGTAACTAAAATGTATCTTTATTGAAATTATATTAATAATAATAGATTCAAAAACAAAACATCATAAAATTAATTTGACTGTTATGTAAATAATTAATGTGGAAAAATATATAATTTATTTTTTATAATTTTAAAAACATATAATTCAGTATTTGATTAATTAAAGTTGTGTTTGGTATTCATTTATACCCGATAATGATTGTGGGTAATGGACAAAAATGTTCTTATTATTAAATAATTTTAATTGTTTTGGGTATTTTTGTGGGTTATTTCATTACATATAACCCACAAAACTTTTGGGAGAAGTGATAGATATAAAAAATATAGATATATAGAAAAGATATAATTCATTTATTAAAATTAACTTGTCAAATATATTTCAAATATGTTTGAATTTATTATGAACATGAGTGAAAGATGTCAAATAAGATATATTTTTTAACATTATTTTTTCATAAATGAATTATTTAATTTAATATGTAATTAATTGTTAGTTATAAAGAAGTAAACATTTCAGTGTGAAAAACATCAATAAATATTTGTCATTATTTTGTTTTATTCATCCTTAGGATCCACCTGAATTTGATTTTTCCTTGCACAAGAGTTTTCCCATTATACGAATCATCTGGAATAAATAGTAATATGGATTTTAATTGTTACATTTTCTCATTTTTTCTGTAAAAATATCATTTATTGTTTTATTAACTGTAAATAAATAAATAATTGTAAAATAAAGTAATTATTCATTATTTTATATTAAAATTTGCCATTTCATTTCACATAATACACAAGTAATTAACATTTTTACAAAATATATATTAACATTTGTATCAAACATGTTCATTATATCATCAATGTTTAAGATTTTTACATTTTAAACATTGATGATGATTAAAGATTGTTTAAATATTTGGAATTTTAATGAGGTTCAAGATGTTTTAAGTCATATAATGATGCTATTAGGTGATTATGTGAAAAAAAAAGACAGATTCAAAATCAATTTTTGAATATTGTCTTTAATGTCTAGAAATTGTGCACTAAATCTGTTGTTTCCATTTCTAAAAATCATGATTATAGATAGATTATTTGGAGTGAAAAGTCACTGAAAGATAAATATCATTGCATAGATTGCACATGAAAAAGTACTCATAGTTCAAAGAATATCAAATGTTTAAATGAAAATACAAACTTAATGTGTTTTAATTTTAGGGAAAATATCTCCATTTTAGTTATAAGTTTTTGGAGTACAGTATTCTGAATTGGTATGCAAAACTAATTTTCTAACATATAAGTTGTCAGTGTCGCAGATCAGCTAAGCAACAGACTCCTCATATATATAATGACAAAGGGACAATTTTCTTAGGAACAATAATACAATTTAAAGGAATCTTTATTACCTTGTAGGACCTTCTCTTGCCTGGATACATGCAGTGATGCAGTCAGACATGGAGGCACATGGACACCATATGCTATTCAGTGATAGTAGTGTGATACACTATAGTTTTCCACAGATGTTGCATCTGCCACTTCAGATCCTTACATTTGTAGAAAGGCAAAGCTACTGTCTCATCCAGCCTTAGTCGTCCATCCCACAAATGCTTGATGGCCGATCAAGGCTGGTTGCACGTTGATGCAACAAAAATATCTTTATACAAAACATTTTTCTAAAGGTAAAAAGGTGTATCACACATTAAATAAGATAAAATGTTTTAATTTCAGGCAAATTAATTTTGTTCAGTGATGTATGCATACTAATCAAGCAAAACATCTTTATATATAAAATGGCTTGCTACACTTTTTTGCACATGCACTGTATCCAGATGTTGTAATTTCAATATTATCTCATAGTGCCCCAATTTCCTAGCTATGTGTGGCTGACCATTATGTTACTGGAAATGACCGCAGCCCTGCCATAAAAGCCAGCACATAATGGTGCAGGATTTTTTGAATGTATCACCACTAGTGGTGACTGACTGTCATAATGAGATGACTCCCCAGACCAGAACACCAGCAATGGAGGCATGTGCTGCTCGACAGTAAAGGTGAAATTGAAGCTTTCAGCACACTCTAACACAGTCTATTCCAGAGAACTAGGATTCGAACATTTAGCACCGATCACTTTGACATTGACACTAAATGGAAGTATCTTAAACTATCAGAATTATATATAGTATCGAGGTCTGCACACAACGTTTGAATTTGGGAGCTTGAAAGTCATGTGATTTGGTGGTAAGGATGTTTGCAATGCAAATTCATGCATTTAGTAATATAGATATTGAAGTTTATAGATGTCTCTAATGTTTATGTAAATCTATATTTATAGAGGATATCCATATACAAGTATTCGTTGGCATTATATCAAGATTTGACTATAATTCCATTTAGAAAGTTATTCAATACAATCAATTTTCCAATGTTTGTTTTGATAGAAATAAATTATAAAATTTTTATTTCAAAACTTATTAGTGAAAAGTAATCTTAAGTAAGACAGCATTTCCTTATGTTTAAAACCACATTTAGACTCAATTCAAGTTTTAAGAATATAACTTACTACAGATTACAAGTGGAGAAACAAACACTAAAGGTTTTGTAATCATTTGCATCATTGTAGATGCTCTTGTGTCATCACATATACAAGATCACTACTCGAAATGAGATTTCTTTTGGGAATGTTTAGAAACAGTTCTAGAAAACAATTATGGTCAACACAATAAAGACTATCTATTTAAGGTTTCTTCTCAATACACACACTACTGTTACTGCAAGTGTATACATGGGAAGCACAGTAGGGGAAGGCAGAGAAAGTCTTGATTGAAACAAGTGGATGAATACGTGAAAGAACATAAGGTACTGATTCAGAAAGAGAATATGAGGAGGTATGCTAGAAGAGGCTTGAGTGTGCCTGGACAGGAAAATGTGGAGAAAGTTACTGAATGGATAGTTTATAAGCTTGTTTCTTTTTGACTGCTACTTACTCTTTTTGGATTATGAGCATGAGAATATGTATGTATGTAAGTTATTGCATGTTTATATTTTTAAATTTATTTCTGAGAAAATACTTTGACACCATAAACTTGATTTTTTAGATAAAAAATTGCTGGAAAAACATTGAGATCACTTTTTTTAATGTTGAATACTTTTTTTTATCATTGCTCTTTCTGCCCTATGGTTACTAAGATGGGTTTTATCACAGCCGTTGTGAGTTGACAACTGTTCTCTTACCAATAATGTCCTTTTGAGAACAATTTTGTTTAATTTTACTTTAATATTATCCTCAGCAGATGACGTTCCAATATCTTTTCTTAAAGACACAACTACTAGTCAGACAAGCAGATAAATTTTAGGAACTCAATTAGGATGGAGGTATGCAACAGTTAGAATTATTACTATTTATTGTCTAATGTTTTATAATTTACAGTTAGCTGACAAACAACAAATATACTTCATAAATCTCCCTTTTTGGTATAAGAAAGTTGGTAACAGTAGTTTGGCCAGGTGTACAATGTGGCCACCGAACTAGGGCCAGGGATTTACATATTCCGAAAAATTCCTGGGATTTTTCAACCTGACCAGATTTATTTCTGTGTCCCAAGAGCGATAGATTGATACCTTAACCGTTTGGCCTTCAACTGTTCTGTTTAGTAAAAATAGTTAGATAATACAGTATTAATCCATTTACTTTCATTCATTGATGGAGGAAATAAAAATAAAGTAACATAAACAAGAATATTGTGAATGGATGAATTAGGAAGTATAATTTTAAATATAATTATACAATATAATTTTCAATATTTTTTCAAACAAATATGCTGATAATTACTATTCTTCAAACTCCTGAAGATTTTTGTTGATTCACTGTTTATAGATGTTCCCATATACGTATTTAATTAATTAATTTATTTATATTTATTGTAGACTAAATATGGGATCACTCACTCGGGACCGAACACATACATTGTTCAATATCTCATGATTGCAGTCATATTTGATAATGTAAAACATGCTTGGTGGATAACTTGTCATGAAATAACGAATGGTTCCGTTTGTGTTTCATGTTTATCTTTTTCATTTTATACAGAGATATTCCACATAATAAGTGTTCGGTCTCGACTAAGTCAACAAACTCAAGGACCATTTGAGAAGCACAAACTCTAGCAAAAAGCCATTGATAACACTCGTTGGGCTGCAATTTGAGAAAATTGTAGACCTCTGTCTGTCTGTTTGTCTGTTCTTCCTTAATCTCAAGAACGGAGTCAGATAGATGAAAGACGAGACTAGATATGGAAAGCTTAGGGGCAGGAGGCACGATTAATTATATAAGAACTTCCAGAAATCACTTTATTTCAATTCAAAAATTTTTCCTGAAAGGAGTTAGATATATGACTGGCACGACTCTATTGCTAACAGGAAAAGATGATATACAGGGGAAAGAAGGAAAACAAAAAAGCTCACTGCAGAATACCCGTACTCTACATGAATTATGTATATGATATTTACTTAATAGCATATACATAAGTAATGTGCCATTTACAAAAATCAGCATAATCGACTCAATTTTGGCAATTATGGTGGATATAATAATAATAATTTCAACTTCATCATCTCTTACAAACTATACACACATACTCCATGATATACAAATGGAGTTTGGTCTAGACAAATGCAAAACATTCCATATTGAAAAAAAGAGTCCTGAAGAAAGGAGACTTTGTACTCAGAAGGGGCGATATTATCGAATGCATAGAAGAAGGTGAGTTTTACAAATATTTAGGATTCTAACAAGCCAACAGAACACACATAGATAAAGATTAACACTCGAATATCAGAACAGATTACATGCAGTACTAAGAACACACCTAAATGCAAAACATACTATTAAAGTTATTAATACATATGTTATTCCTGTACTTACTTTTTCTTTTGCAGTTATGCACTGGATAGACACAGATCTCGAACAACTCCAAAGGAAAAAAAGAACATGTACTAAGCATAAGCAATATCGTCCAAAATCATCCTTAGAAAGACTAACTCTTCCTCGTAAAGAAGGTGGCAGTGGCCTAACAGGTCTTGCGGGACCACTTTTTCCCATTTTTACAGCCCTGTAAAAATAAAACATTTTAGAAAATTTGAATAGAGGTGTAAATTGAATATATTGGAAACTTACGTGTATTACACTTAATTATGTTTGTTTAACACGAAAATGAACCAATAATCGGATTTGCCGCCTTTGTTCGGCGCTACAATTTGCTAATATGGAATGTTTGTGTGGAATTTTACATAATTTTGTCACGAAATAAATAAATAAATTTTTAAAATATCTTGTTACGTGTCATTTTAAAATCTTATAGGTTATAGCAACTTGCACGTGTCACGTACATGTTTTATTTACCTACCCTACTCCCTACGTTCCAGTAATTCCGCATTAGCTGGTTTATAATAGTGCCAATGTAACCCACAAAAAAGCAAGTCTAGAAAAATAGTAAAGATATTCAAATATAGTTTCTCTGTTCTTAACTGATATTTGAATGGAACAGAACCGTAAAGAGCGATAATTTTTACCCTATTGAAAGATTAAGGCATTGGTTTTCAACCAAGGTGCCGCGGCACGCTAGAGTGCATACTAAGTGACAGACTTCAGGGGTGCCGCAAAAGGGATTGATGGAAGAAGGCAACATAATGCTTGAGTGATATGTCTCCCGGAAAGACTTTTATGG